CGGGACCCTCCTGGGCAGCAGAGCTTGTGTCCACATGGCAGCAGCTGCCTGGGGCATCCCCCCCACCCATGGCCCACGGTGCAGCCCGGCCGTGCCCCCCCTAGACCCCGGGGCACCCCCGAAGGATCGGGGCGCTGCGCTGTCCCCATGGCCCCCCCTTGGCCCTGGAGGGGGGGCAGGGGGGATGCTCCGTGGGGACCCCAGGGTCTGGGGAGGGGGGGGCACCAGTGGTGCCGGCTGCGGTGCCAGCGGGGTGAGGGGGGGCCCGGTGTCCCCCACCGGCATCACGGGGGCTGGAGGGGCTGCAGCCATTCCCCCCCCACCCCCGCAAGCTTCCCCAGTGCCGAACTGGTCTGCGGCTGGCCCACACCAGTATGCACCAGTTGCAGCTCCAATCCCAGCCTGAACCGAGATGGAGAAACGCCGGGGCTGGGCTGTCCCGGAGCCGGGAGGGAAGGAGGGGGGGGGGACCGGGAGGTGGCCCCGGAGCCGGGCACACGCCGGTTGGGCTGAAAACCCCCTAATCCTGTTACTGGGCAGAGGCTGATTTTCCCCCTAATCCAGTTTGCTCCCATATGTCTCCTCCCGCCGCGTTATAAACCGCTTTGGCCGCAGCTGGGGCTGCACCGGGCACACGCCAGGGACGGGGGAGACCCCCCCTGCCCCCCCCCCGGCTTCGGGCTGGCACCTCGAGGGGTGCAAGGACCAAGGGGGGGGCTCCCCACAAGGGATGACATCCCATACGGCCACCACGCTGTGTGACACACGCTGCCTGGCCCCGTTTTGGGTCCCAAATGCTGAATTTTAAGCATTTTTATGGCCATGGCTCCTCATCTCGGGGGGGGGGGGAAATGGTGGCGCCTGGGCTCAGGCCTAATTAACGCTGAGGAAGGGGGGGATTAAACCCCGGCCCCGGGGGAAGCGCCGGGCGCCTGCGAGGGAGGGAGGGATCCTCCGTCTGGATCCTGTGCCGCTGCCCCACCGGGAGCCCGGCTGCGGGTTTTGGGGGGCTCAGGGTGCCCCCAGCCCCGTGGTCCGATGGGTGCCAGGCTTGGGCACGGGGGGTGGCAGTGGCCAGAGCCACCCCAGTCCTGGAAGTGCATCCCTGGGGACAGGCCAAGGGACATCCTGGTGGACACCCCAAGGAGGACCTCAAGGGACGTCCCTCGGAGCACCCCAAGGGACACCCCGCGCTGCAGCAGGACCATGGTCCCCCCAAAACCTTTCTGGCTCTTCCCCCCCAGGGTGGGGGGACAGAGGGGAGACAGAAGGGGGGGGACAGAGATGGAGGACAGAAGACCCAGGAATGGGGGGGGCAGAAGTTTTCTCCCCAAGCCAAGGCGTTGCAGAGCTGCTGCCAACACTGGGGGGGTCTCGGTCTCAGTTTTGGGGGGACAGTGCCCTGGGGACCACCCCTACAAATACCTGGGAGCCCCCCAGCCTCGCCTGGGCTTCCATGGCCCCAGGAGGGTCCTGGGGGGTCCCGGAGGGTGGGGGCTGGCACCAAGTGTCCCCCCACCCACGCGTGCCCGTCCCGCTCTCCAGCCCTGGTGCCCACAAAGCACGGGAGGGACAGGGGGAGCGGAGGGACGTGGGGACAGCAGTTCCCATGGCTGGTGCCAGGGAGTTGTGACATCCAGGGAGGTAAATCCAGCAGCCCATGGAGCTCTGGGTGTCCCCATGGAGCATGGGTGTCCCCACGGAGCTCCGGGTGTCCCCACAGACCTGGGACCATCCTGTGGGAGCTGTGACCACCCCATGGAGCCGTGACTCTCCCCAGGGATCTGTGGCTGTCCCCACGGAGCTCTGGATGTCCCCACAGAGCTGTGACCACCCTACAGAGCCATGACTGTCCCCATGGAGCTCTGGGTGTCCCCACAGACCTGGGACCATCCTGTGGGAGCTGTGACCACCCCATGGAGCCGTGACTCTCCCCAGGGATCTGTGGCTGTCCCCACGGAGCTCTGGATGTCCCCACAGAGCTGTGACCACCCTACAGAGCCATGACTGTCCCCATGGAGCTCTGGGTGTCCCCACAGACCTGGGACCATCCTGTGGGAGCTGTGACCACCCCATGGAGCCGTGACTCTCCCCAGGGATCTGTGGCTGTCCCCACGGAGCTCTGGATGTCCCCACAGAGCTGTGACCACCCTACAGAGCCATGACTGTCCCCATGGAGCTCTGGGTGTCCCCACAGACCTGGGACCATCCTGTGGGAGCCGTGACCACCCCACGGAGCTGCGGGTCTCCCCAGGGACCTGTGGCTGTCCCCATGGAGCTCTGGGTGTCCCCACAGACCTGTGACCATCCTGTGGGAGCTGTGACCACCCCACAGAGCCGTGGCTCTCCCCAGGGAGACCTGTGGCTGTCCCCACGGAGCCACGGCCACCCCATGGGGAGCCATGACCATCCCCACGGAGCCGTGCCCTTGCCAAGGCCCTTGCAGCCTGC